GCTCCGCGGGCCTGGAGCACAGCCGGGTCTAATATGCCCGGAGCCGAGGCGCGATGAAGGAGAAGTCCAAGAATGCGGCCAAGACCAGGAGGGAGAAGGAAAATGGCGAGTTTTATGAGCTGGCCAAGCTGCTCCCGCTGCCGTCGGCCATCACCTCGCAGCTGGACAAGGCGTCCATCATTCGACTCACCACGAGCTACCTGAAGATGCGCGCTGTCTTCCCCGAAGGTGAGGCCGCAGGTGGGCGGCCGGGAGTGCTAGGGGGCCCAAGCTGAGAGCCGGATCTGGCCCGGAGGGGCCGCCTGGGTCTCCCAGCCAGGGCCAGGGCATCTTGGGGAGGCCGTGCCGGGAAACTCAGCTTCTGGTGGAGAGAGAGGCCGGGGCCTTGGTGCCGGAGGGAACAGACCATCGCCTAGCCCAGGGCTGGTAGGGCGCGAACCAGGAATTGTTCCACGAGCAGACTGGTCCATTCTGGTCTGTCTTCTTTCCTTTCTTCATTTCTTTAATTCTCCTTGTATCTTTTCCTTCAAATTCCTTTTTCCGTGGAAGGGAAGCACGTCCACCCTAGGCGGAGGTGAAGGGTTCTTGCTGGTCCCGGATGGGAGAGAGTTGAGGAGTGCACCAGGAGGCCTAGGCCTTGCAGGCCCCAGTGCCCAGCAGAGCACTTGTTGGGGCAGAGGCCTCAGACTTGGGCCTCTCAGGTGGTCTCTTCTCTGCTTGCTTTTCTTGGGGCTGAGGCTCCAAGTCAGGGTGGGAGAGACAGCGCGAATAGGTGAGCCGCGATTCGGCAGGGGAGAGCAGGAGGCAGTTAGTCTGGAAGTGGCAGGCAGGCCCGAGCATAGTTTTCTTTGCTGGTTTGAAATTATAAGCCCAGAGGGGCAGATGCCATGGTGGGCAAGAGTCGCCAGAATGCAAGGGTCCAGCAGACTGTAAGTGGTCAGAAATGGTGGCACACTGGGTGGGCATTCCTGACCTGCACACGGCCTGGGGTGATGGTGGCTGCCAGGGCTAAGCAGCAGGGCTGGAGGAGGCCTGGTCACCACAGTGTCCCTTTTAGTGTCCCAGGGGTTCCGAACTGATCGCCTTCCATTGTCTGTGTCCCTTGGACAGAGGGGTGTCCTTCGGCCTGGCGGGTGGGATTCTGACACTTGTCTGGGACACTCTGCTCCAACTGGGGCCTGATGGGCGCCTCCCAAGACCTGCAGGCCCAGGAGCCACTAGAGCTGTGTCAGCCTCCGGAGCCTTGGAAGCCGGCGCCCAGCACGGGACTAGGGAGACAGTTTCAGCTCCAGGGCTCAGGGAGGGTCACTGCCATGCCATGACAGGTGTCTCTCTAGTGCAGAGTGTTTCCATTAAGGCAGTCCTGGGTCAGGCGACAGACACAAAGTCGGTAAGCTCCATCTTTGTATGGTGGGCACCCCTAAGCTTTATTTGTCTCTGGGCCTTGAGCTGCCCTTCACATCACCTCCCTGGTGGAGCGAGGAGGGCCTGTCCACCAGCCCAGCCTCCAGCTCTGCAGCGCAGCCGGCTGGGGAGCTGAGCATCGCAGGACACGGAACCAAGGGGGCCGGAAGCAGTGTCCTCTTCTCACCGCCGGTGACTTCCAGCTGCGCTGTGCAGCCAGGCAGGCACTTTCCTCCCAGAGCAGGAGCCCGTGACCTGATCGCCAGAGTCCAGAGGTCTCAGAAGGGAAAATCTCCCCCTTTTTAACCCCAGGCAACCGAGGTGCCCCATCCCCACACTCCTCCCACTGGGAGCTGCAGCCTGGTAGTCGCTATACATCACCGAAGTAGAGATGATTCCTCTCCTGCAGAAGTTTCAGCGAAAATTAAACAAGAATTAGGTTTTGTAAGGACGAAACTTGCTTCCCATTCATGGAGGAGTCATGGTAACTGGTATTCTCTGGTGAGCAGTTTCTTAATCCGCATCCTACAAAGCAGGTGTGGAACCCAGACAGGGCATCGGCCTCCTCTCCTGTTCCCTTCCCACACCATTGGAAATAAAAATTACCAAAAAATGACCAGATTAAATGATTTTTTAAAAAGTCAGAAGTTAGTAAGCGAGGTCTGGAGAAAGGGGTAATTGTAAGTCATTTGGAGATTTCCAGGAAAGCTGCTAAAGATTAGGAAGTGGCAGATGTACTGCTTCTGCAGATATTTAAACTGGGTCTGTGTGTTCGAGCTCTGGGAAGCGGTTCTCCAGGCTTTGTGGTCCAGAATTGCTTGGCTCTGAGCTGGTTACAGAGGTGGGCTAGCTGGGGGTCCACCGCTAAACTCAGGGCCCCTATGCTTTGTTCCCAGTGGTGTGGTTGAGAAGTGTCCTGTGTGTCCCCTGCGGTGGCCATCGAGATTGGAATTCCAGGAGAGGTCGGGGAGAGAGCTGCTTGGCCCTAGAGTTTTGGAAATAACCCTTGACCTATGGGGAGCGGATTGATCCCAAATCGGAAAGAGGCCTGATCTTGCTCCCAGCACTCCTGCAGCGCTGAAGCGGGGAGTAGGCGCACTGGCCTGGAGGGTAGACAGCTGCCTCTGGGCTCCTCCCTGCGCTCAGAGGCCTGCGGCCTGCAGCTTCCCCTCAAATCAGTCTGGGACTGGAGAGTGGTCAAGCCGGGTGCCAGCGGCAGAGAAAAATATGAGTTTAGGAAGTCCTCAATTATGCAAAAGAACTCGCTCTCCCCTGTGGTAGCTCGAAGCGCGGGAGCGCGGAAGCAGCGCCCATAATTGATTCACCCAGTTCCCGGGAGACTCGGGTCTTCGCCTAGGAGGTGGTGCGGGGTTGGGATGGGGCCGGGAGGAGCCGCGGGGTCAGGACGCGGGCGTCAGGGAGCTTGTAGGACCAACGCGGTCCCGCGCCGCGGCGGGAGCTCCCGGATCGGCGCCTGCTCTTGGAGGCGAACGGAAAGATACCGAGCAGAACCGATGTGCCCAGCGCGGCCTCGCTTTCCATAGCCCGGGAGCGGGCGGGATCCCTGGGCGAAGAGGAGTCTAGAAGCCAAGTCAGGACTTCGGGAGTCAGAAAATGACTAGCACAGTCCGAAGGAAGCACAGGAATCGCCAGACTAACCTAACCCTTCGTCGTTGAGAAACTGAGGCCGGCGAGGGGCAGGCCTTTCCCAAGGCCCCCCGCGACGGCCCTGGGCCGGCGGTGGCTGCCCGGGCAGGCAGGCCGCTGCGCCGCAGGTTCGCCCGCCGCGCAGAGGAGGCCGTTGGCCTCGGGCCCTTTCTTTCGGAGTCCGCCTGGCAGCAGGAGAGAAAGGGGAGCTCGGAGGAGCCCCGGGGCAGGGGCAGAGAGGCGCCTGGAGCCAAAGTGGACGCTCGGCGGGAGTCCACAAGCTTAGGGGTGCCGGCAACTGAGACAGCTGGTTCAAGGCGCCCCTCTTCGGGCTGCCCTGCTAGGCTTCTGTCTCCTTGTCTGTAAAATGGGCCTATTAGCAACTCCATCACTGTGCCTGGTTCCTGGCATCTGGTGTGAGGAAGCAGGTAATGCAAGTGTAAACCTAACATGTTTGTACACCAGTCTCTCCTTCCTGTGAGGTCACTGCTTTTCCTGAGCCAGATGCCGCCTAAACGGTGGCCGAGGGCCCCACTTGGTGGACCTCCGAGACTCACTGTCTGGAGTTGGAAGACACGCTGGTTTCTGGGTCCCCAAATTTTCTCCCCTTTAACAGCGAACTAACAAGTGGGAGTACACAGGCAGGGAAGAGAGCAGGAGAGGAAGGCTGGCTTTGGCTGTGGCCTTGGAATTGAAAACTTAGTGAGTTAACGTGGTTGGGAGAGCCTGGTACACACAGGGTTCAGGGAAGCACTAGGGCCCGGGTTCTGCTAGCCTCTTTGCAGTGTGGCCTGTCCTTCAGGAAAGGGAGTGCTTTGGAAACACAGAAGCACCCAGTGTCGGGGGAGTCTGTGGCTTTCTGGCCATAGCTGCATGGTGACCATGCCAGGCAGGATGCAGGGCAAATTCTGCCATCTGGTGACCTGCCCTGAGCCTCAGGAGGCAGGAGTCAGAGCTGCAGGGGCTCCATGGCCAATCACCAGAATTAAGCACCTTCCCAGGAGCCTGGGTTCCTACACTCAGCAGTGGGGCAGAGGGTGGCATCCCCTCTGGGCACTTGCACAGAAAGGGCTGGAGGAGGGACTGGCTCCAGGTCCCAGTTCAGGAATGGAGCCGGAAACTGAGGCAGACTGTGGGAAGAGAACAGAGCCCCTCTTCCCCGCTCCATGGACCTGAAGTGATGTGGGTGAGAGAAGCACTTTTACTCCAAAGAAGCGAAAATGTCACTCCCACACAGTAAGTGGGATTGGAGGCCTGAATTATTCCAGTGGCGGGATTTGTCTGAGTTTAGATTCAGGCAGGGCCCTTCCCACCCAACACACACACACACACACACACACACACACACACACACACACACACACACACACACACCTGAGTGCCCAGGGAGGCTGTCCTAGAAATTGTTTAGGAATGGAAATGCTTTGATTTAGAGGATTTGGTGATGAAAAACTTACCTTAAACCGATATGGGGTCACAGATTCGAGGCATTTCTCTACAGCAGCCCGAAATAATGTATTTTTTATAGAGAGACTTTTTTAGAATAATGTGGGTTTTTACAACTGTCTCCCCATCTCTGCGTGGAAGCCTGCAGGCTGTGTGTGGATCCAGGGAGGGAAAGCTCACAGTCACAGAGCAGGAAGCTCAGGCAGTGGTGATGGGAACTCCATGGATGTGGGGCCCTGGCGGTTGGGGGCTAGTGGGGTACTGTAGATTCAGCCCCCAGGACCAGCCAGGGGTGGGGTGCTCGAGGTCGGGTGGAGCTCGGACAAGAAGCTGCTTCATGCCCACCCAGGGATGCAAAAAAAAAAAAAGAGAGAAGAAGCCTCTTGGAGGTGGCACTGGCCATGTGCACTCCCTAGTGCAGTGGGCTTAGCGGAGCCTCCATCCCAACCCTCAGGATCTAAGCATTAGGCAGTGGGGTCGTGGGGTGCTTGCATCTGTGGGCTGAAAGCCTACAACACTGGCCGGGACCGGCAGGGCCCTTCTGGAACTGCTTCCCCTGCCTCAGTTGGGCCGAGTCAGACCTTGTTGGGTCGTCCCTACTTACCACTACCTTCACAG